AAACATATTAATTCGAGCAGCTGGTTGTAACAGGTTTTGCTCTAACAAATCTGTGAGTGGAAAAATGTTGGCATCGTTTAGGGCCAGCGCCCTGGCCCAGTCAAGACGAATTTGAAATCTGATTGGTTAAAGAAACAGCTCATTTCTTAACAGTAACATAAGTCTGCACTGTAGTACTGATTAAGGGCGTTTGGGAAGATTAGATTTATATAGCTGCCACTTAAACGGAATATATGTCTTGATAACACAGTATTAGTCGGATCTTAAATAAACTATTTCAAATCAACACTTTTATTCAAGTATATTATTTTATTAGGAGTCATACCATTTCTGAGGTTGTGGCAGAAACTCAAAGCATAATAAATAGGATTAAAACACAACTATTCCTGCATGGCTAAAGTAATACAAACGCATTACGGCAATTGTTACTGAACAAATATTACATTTAGAATTATTGTCTTACTTTAAGATGGCCGATTAGTTTTAAAAATTGGAGCATTTTCATTGCGTCTGTAGGGGCCGCCATGTCTTTTTCTTCTTCTACGCTCCACGCGCAGAGCACTGAACGGATCACGCCGTCCACACGATGAAAAGTAAGCATAGCCGTGGGATTAAATTAAAAAAATAAACATCTCGCCTGTTTTTAAAAAAGTGTATGTAAAAGAAAACCAAAGTGCATTTATTTCACGTTTCATTTGTTCAGCACACATGAACAAATATGATACATTGTGTTCGACTTGTACGGCGGTAAAGAGAGAGCAGGCACTCTAATTAACCGGAGAAGAAGAAGAAGGTTACCCGAGAAGAAGGCTCACCCCGGAAGTCTATGCAAGCGGGCTATTTGAAAACGTAAACTCGTCTTTTCCTGCTCGCGTTTTCAACCCCTCAAACATTTCCGTCATGCCGAGCAAACTGCCGAGACTCAAGCAAAGAGTCAAATCCAAGATGAAGACTAACATTAACGTGAGGCCGGCGTCGGAAGCAATGGTAAGCCGCCGTTTGTGACTGCTTCAGTGGGCTAATGGCTAGCTTGCTAAGGTAACCGTGTTCGCAGATGGAGCTCCTCGCTGTGCTTTTCCTCAACAATTTGGCCCAAGAAGCAAAAGCCAAAGCGTTTGAGGAGAGATCCGCAACGATCCGGGCCCATCACGTCAAAGCAGTCGCCAAGGTAATTCCGCAAACGGTAGAAACACTCTGTCTTTAAGCAAAAGTATAGATATGTGTGCATGCAACAAGGCTGTTAAAAGTATTGATTTTACTCGTTCAGTTAAGTGCAGACTCGGAAATGTACAAAAGGGAAAATGAATCTTTACTGTTGTCAGTGAACGCTTTGATAACCTGACAAAGAAATGACCAGGAAATAAGTGTACAGTACAAGCAAGAAGGCCTTCCAATAAATATGCGCACAAATTGAAATGCAATGTGATGATTGGTACATTTGACGAATTAGATACTGTGCACACTGCAATGTTGTACTGTACATGTACTGCATGTTCCTTGTACCGCCCTAACAAATCATCCTATGTCTTTATTTTTTAATACAAATAAATAAATCTTGCACCCCAGCATGGATGTTAATTCACATTCACTTTATTTCTTCAGAGAGTGCTGAAAAATGCCAGAGGATGAAGACCATGTTTTGATGATCATCCTTTCGCCCACCGGGAAGTGCTTTATTTTTTCCTGTCTATCTAATGTTGCTTCACTTTGATTTTCTCAATTCAAATGATCTGTTCCTTCCATTTTTGCTTTCTTAACTTGGTGTATACTGTATTCCTAATAATAAATCCACTGAATATTCTTCAATGGCTGAACTCATCTGTTTTCTGTTGTGTATTTTGTTCGAGCACGTACGATTTTCTGGTGATATGTTTGAGGTCTGGCTGGAATTTATCAGGGTATTTTTCATTTCGAAGGGTGTTTGAAAGTCGCCTTTTTAGCTGTACTGTCAAATCATAAAGTACTTTTTTTTTCTTTGACATTTTCCTAATGTGGTGCAGTATTGTATATTGTCATAAGATAAAACCTTTATTTGTCTCACAATGGAGA